AACTCAAATTTTGTGAACCAGGGGGATGTGTCTTTTCCAACAAACTAAAAATGGCTCGCGCACAAAATTTAAAAGTTGTAATCATATTTTGAGTTAATAGATGGAAACTTTGTTGGGTTTTTAATTACTGTACAAAATTTCAGACAATTTAGTTAAGCCCTTTAACTATTCATTTTATTCTAAAAAATCAGCCTTTCGCATGCTTAATTAATGCCTTTACCTAATTTGCATATTTTTAACATATGCAAATTAGGCAAAGGCATTAATTAAGCATGCAAATAGCTGATTTTTAGGAAAAATGTAACTTTGTGTGAATAGTTAAAGGGCTTAAACTAAACCAAATTGTCTGAAATTTTGTACAGTAATTAAAAACCCGACAAATTTTCCATCTATTAACTCAAAATATGATTACAACTTTTACATTTTGTGCGCGAGCCATTTTTAGTTTGCTGGAAAAGACACCCCCCCCTGGCTCACAAAATTTGAGTTCAAGAAATTTTTTTTCAGTATTCTACTTTATAAGTACCCAAAGAAGCTATACTGTATATGTAAAAAACCGGATACAAATAGGTGTTTTGCGAAATTGAGAGCAATTTCAAATCTGTTCAGTTTTTTTTATACACCCTGTATAAAGAATTAACAAAGATTTCTAAATTTTAGCCACACCAGGGAATTGAGACTGAGCTACGACTTATGTGATAAAGAGAAGGAATTTCTACAGAAAAGAAAGGAAAAAATATTGAAACACATGCCAACGATTATGGAGAAAGACAAAGCACCAAGGAACATTGACGAGGTCTGATTGGTTTTTAAAAATTTCCCTGCTTGGCCAACCTACGAAAGCTTTGTTACAGAAATATCTTCCTCAATAAATGTTTCTCTGTTTGACACGCGAAAATATTATTGCTGCATAAATAACATTTCTTTTTTGGGAAGCAAATTAAAGCATTTGCCGACAAATTTTTGTTTCTGTGCAATTATTGCCTCGAAAATATTGTTTTGTTAGTTTTCAACGTGTATATTTGAACATGCCACAACCCAGTAATCATACCCAGGCAAACAATTGAACTTTGCTTTAATGGGTTTTTGAATATGAAAACTGAAACTTTGGCATTATTGGTTATTATGGATTCCCCATATGGTAAATTTGTAAAAACCATGATGTTTAACATTTATCCATTAATGGTACTTTATTATTTTCCTATGCACAGGAAAATACCATTAATTTACACAGTCGAAATATTGGTGCCGTTTGGTTTTTAATCCTTTTTTGTTTAATTGAAGGTGCCAGTGATTGGTATCATGGGATCAGGTGGTGGATTTAGGGCTGTATGTGGATTATCAGGAGTATTTTGTGCTCTTCAAGAATCCGGCGTACTTGACTGTTCTTCGTATGTAACTGGACTATCTGGCTCTTCGTGGTACGTGAAGCAAAAATAGTTATCATTGATGCTGTAAAGTGACGTCATATTTATACAGCGATATAAGCAAATTTCAGACATCATTTTCTCTTTGGCGTACCATCTAAAATATCTTCATTTTAGCACAATTCTACAGATAAAGCACTAAACATACAAATTCATTTTTATTCCAAAATTTGATCTTTGTCTGCTGTCACTTAGACCACATTGTTACCATAGCAACACACAATTTGCTTTTTTCGAACGATTACGCTTGAAGTATAAAGATTACGCAAGCGTTTGTACTTCCAAAAATCCCCATTTTACATCAATAGCAAATATTTTGCGTCATTGTGAAGACCTTATTTTTCCGCTGCTGGTTCTTTACAACTGTAGGGAGCCACCTTAATACCTTTGATATGTTTTAAGTTATCGTGCTGACACACTTACATACAAACGCGGGCGTAGTATTTAATCGATTTCTTCTAAACAGGTACATATCAACACTCTACCATAACGACGATTGGCCCGCTACTCTATCATGTCAAGACATGGCAGACAAGCTGAAAAAGAAATTTGGGACAAGCATATGGAGTCATTTGCGTGTGGCTGATTTCTTGATAAAAATGCAAGAAAAAGCAAACAGAGGTCAACTTGTCCGACTTGTGGATTTTTTTGGATTGTTTGTCGGTGATTACCTCCTGGATGTAAGTATTAACTATTGTAAGATACTATATAGGGTGTATAAAAAAAAAACTGAACAGATTTGAAACTGCTCTCAATTTCGCAAAACTGCTATTAGTA